TCTCCCCAGGCAGAATGGGTAAGAATATAGCCCTGGCAAATGTTGATATAATGGCATGATGGGATCTGATCCCTGATTTCAACATTCATATGTATTGGTTCAGATCCCTATGCATGTCCCTTTCTATTTGACAGCACAGGTATAGCTCAGGATCATGATCCTGAGCTCCACATGCACCAGCATGTTTAAAGCCTTTGCGTGCAGGGCTTTGGGCACATGGCTCAGCACTTGCCAAGTGTATGTGGTGGGGGGGGAGCCAATTTCACCACCCCCACAGCAGTTGCAGAACTAGATAGTGGTGCCCTTGCATGTAGGGCTGCTGCTGCACAACTTTCAACTTGTCACCTGGAAGGAATCAGTCTGCTCCCCTGCCCAGCACTTAACCACAGCACAAGCCCTGATTGTCAGCATCAGGAGGGAAGTAGTCCCCATCCAGTTGGAGACCATCAGCTGATTGACATTGAGAGGGGGCATGTCACAAGTTCACTTTAAAGTATCATGTGAACCAGCCACACAAAGATATCCTACATTATTTGTGGAACATCTATGTAACTATTTTGCCATTTTATGGCACCAAAAATGTACTGAATACATGTCATATTGCCATTTATTGTGTGATTTAACATGTTACATTTGTGGCATGATTAAAATCTGTCAGCAGTTTTAATAGGACTGTGGCAGGTAACCAGATAGACACTTGGAGAAGTGTTTTGGAGTGTAAACAATAAAAGGTTGAGCTATAGATCTGCCTCTTGCCTCTCTTTATCACTAGCCAACCTGCCAAACTCCTTTAATCCAGATAGCAGTACTATAGTGCGGGCACTTTTACATGTGCTATTAATGCTACAAAGGCCTACTGCTCAGTAAAATACTGCACAGTAAGCCTTCCCTGGGAGAAAATATGCTCCCAATTGGAGCACAGGGCTGCTTCTACCCTGTTCTGGCCTCCTGCGGTAGCCAGATGGAGCTTCAGGCTCCTTCAGGGTGCTAGCCCAGGGGCTGGCAGGGAGCACAGGAGCTGATCCTGATGTGCACAGGGCCAGGAGAGCTCTGTTGGCTGCAGTGGCAGCTGTCTCCTGGCCCTGTGTACATAAATATGGGTCCTGATGTGCATGGGGCCAGGTGACAGCTGCCACTGCAGAGCTCTCGCAGCCCTGTGCACATGCAGACAGGCCCTGTGCCCAGTGGAGCTTCCCTGTGCAACTTGGGGCTGGCCGGGAGCTGTTCTGGGGAAGCTCCCAGTCAACCCCTAGCTGGGCAGGAAAGCAAACAGCTCTCAATTCTGGTGGTGCTCATCTCCCAGCTCCTGTAGGAATCTGGGAGCCAAGCCATGCCGCGATGGGGTGGGGTGGGATGGGGTAGAGAGCTCTCCTGTCCTGGAGATGCTCGGTTTCCAGCTCCTGGAGGGTTTTTACAGGTAGTAGCTAATTGTGCAGTAGGCTAGTGTACTGTGAAGTTAATGGTGTACACATGTAGACAGTGATGCTTTACTATGCAGTAAAGAATCTTCTGTAAAGTTCTCGTTCAAGGAGTTGGTAGAAAACATGGAGCTGATCACATCACTCAAAGAGAACATGCATCTTCATTCAGGATTTTTTTGGTTTGAGGGAGAATATACCATTTTGCGGTTTATTTTGTCCCTTCTGCAAACTTGGTGGATGTGGCCTCACAGTAACAGGATAATAAATCTTAGACATGGGAGGAATAATAATGGGGGCACTGGCTGTCCTGCAATTGTTCCTGTATGCTGAATCCATGGACTTTTGTCACAGGAAACTTCTCTAATTGAATATACAACCTAAGATGAGAGAATAGGGATCCAGGAGACCTGAATGGCACTCTGCACTTGGCTGTGACAAAATACATGTACAGGAAGGTAGTAGCAGAGTGACAGGAAAATGAGGACACAGGAAGGATTTACACTATGGAACCCTTGCTGAGCAATAGAGGTTCAGGTGAGAAGAATGAAAGGGTGTGTTGGGGTGAAAGAGAAAAGAACACTTCAGAATTTGAGAACCAAGAGAGAGAAGCATTTGAAGGAAACAGGCAGTCTGGACAGGTCAGTTTGTATGGGGATTAAAAACAGAGGAATAGGAAGTCCAGAAAATAGCTAAGTGACCCCAGGCAGAGGGCAGACTAAGTTGAGTAGGACAGCAGAGATAGAGTAGGTAAAGCGAGTGAGAATATCTGAATACAGGAGTAAAACTGAGAATGAAGAGAAATACATAGTGATAGGAAAGTGGAATGGAGGAGAACAGATCTGTAAATTTAAAATGAAGGTATAGAAATGATGGTGTGAGAGATCTCAAAACCGAATATTATTAATATAAACTTTAGAGATGGAGCTGCCCTTTCCCCTTGTGTGCCTTGCAGAATGGAATAGCAATGCAAACAAAGCGTCCCTTAGAACTGTGCATCATGACAAAGATTAAAATATTGTTCCTTATTTAATTCCCTTCTATGCATCTGACCCAAACAGTTGTGTGAGTGTGAGGAGGGCTGACTTTTCCAAATCCATGCCACGGAGTGGAAATATCTTGTGTCAGTAGTGGGAATCAGTCTCATGGCCTTTAATCTAAATTTGAGTTAAAATTTTAATAGGAGCTGCATTTTGGGGCTGTTCATCTTTAGTTCATGTCAGCCTAGAGAGAGAGGTATTTTGTTTTTTAAAATTTTTGCTTTATGTTTTATCTACAGCCTATGTTTCCTTTAGAATGACTACCTTGGGCTCTGAATAATTATCCCTTTAGACTGGACTTTCTTTTTTCACTAATATCCTTATTAAATCCATAAATTGTTGATTATCAATATTTTAATTTAATTTCAACTAAACCCTGTATATTTTGATTTTACCCCTATTTCTGTTTAGATGATCAGCTTGTGTAAACCATTGTAGCTTCATTGATTTTCATTTATTTATTTATTTTTTATTGGAGCTGATTTATATCAGCTAAGATATGGCTGTTCATACAAGCCTCTTTCAATTTTGGACTACCTCCTTGCTTAGGACAAATTTTAACTTGTCTTCAGTTAGGGTTTTGCCTAAATAAGTGCCATATGCATTGTCTTTTAAACTTGTTCTAGATAGAAAATAATGTTTAATTTTAAGACCAGATTTCAATAACCTTTCTCCATGAGTTGTTTACTGTTGCAGGGATCTTATTAATTATAATGGCATCACCCATAGGAGAACATTTTATCTAACACAAGGATATTAGAATCTGGCCCATGACCTTTGCTCAGTGTCCTTAATTCCACCTCCTGAAATGTATATGTGGTGGGGGAGCCCACAGTGTTTTCTGCTCTTATACAGTAGTACCTGCATCATTTGTACCCTGGTGGTTTGCAACCCACTTAATTCACAGTAGGCTGCCAAATTAAGAATGAACTGCTCAATTGTTAGCTGCAGCTTTTACTTCAAAAAGTGTCTCTTTACTCAGCTGGAGCTCATCAATGGTCCCACACAGCTGATTGAAGTTATGGCATCCTTTGAATAAAAACTGCTGCAAACTGCTGGAGCACTTCAGTAATCACATGTAGTTTTTTGCTGCAGCTCTGTATACAGTGGGCTAGGTTACAAACCTTTATCTTCTCAGGAACCTAACCTTGTGAAAAATCCAGGTTCTATATATCCCATATTTTCTTGCATACAACGTGTCCTGGAATAAGATACACACCTTAGTTTGAAAAGTAGAATGAAGAAGAGAAAATATTTCCTTGTAGTAAGTAACTGAATAGTAGCAGGCTAGAGACCTGAGCCCCTCGTTGCTCTGCTTCCTGTGGATCATGGACTTTGCTCTCACTTTTGCCCAGCAAGCAGCAGAAACTGCCCTTACAGTATTTCTCACAGATAATGTGCACTCCAGTTTTCAGTAGTTGCTTTTTTGGGGGAGGTGGGGTGGGAGGGGCAGGGGTGTGTGTTATATATGTAAGAATATGGCATAACTTTCTTCTGGCCAGTAGGGTTGAAGCACATACTCTGAAAAGGCTATAGCTGCTAGAAACTGATGCTGATATCAGTGAGAATGGCTGATCAGTCTATAAAACAATCTTTTTGAGATTAATATTATTCTTTTATATAACTCAAAATCATATTTGTTTCAGTAACCTGATACTTTAGATTCATTTGTGGATGAGTAAGGTTGCCCTCACAAGTGACTACATTAAAGTCAGTGGGAAAAATCACTTGAATAAAACATACTTACACATGTGTGTGTGTTTGCTGGGCTGGGTGATGGCAGAATGTGATCTTCAAAATTAACCTATTTTATTGTAGTATCGCTAGTGTGTTGTGTTGTATTTGCTGTCTTTTGACGAGATCAATCCCCAGGGGTTGCCAGAGGCTCTGCAAGATGACATTACTGTCATTCTCTTGGGTTAAAGACAGGTCTTGGTCCATGCATGGAAAGAAGTGAATAGAGTTGCAGTTCTCTAACAGCACAAAGAAATGGAACATCTTGTGCAATATCTGCTATGGGTATCTGTGTGCCACTTCTACATACGATCGTGGCTCCCTTATAGACTGTTGCAACTGGCACCTAGTCTATTCCATACCTACTTACTAAAGCTGGATGGATTGCCCCAGAACGTGACTTTCTAGACATTAATGATAAGGGCAGCACTTAGTGGGGCACCTGGAGATACCACCTGGAGCCAGCAGCATTACATGGTCATATCTTCCCGATCAAAATACTCACCCAGGCTGAACCACATGGAATTCCTGAAGGGAGTTCTTCAGGTTAGCATGTAAAGGGATGCTGTTCCACTGACTCCTCTTCTTGCTGAATATGAGACTTACTATTGTGGAAGCTCCCTGGGTTTTGACCCATCTTTGTCTAGCAACATAGAAAGTGAAATGTCTGTTTGCCTTCATAATCAGCTTCTTAGGACAATCATTTTCATATTTAATGGGAAAAACAAAACCAGTAAAAATATTTCATGAAGAAACCAATGACAGGCTGGTGTTTTTTTCTTGTTTTTCTTCTCATTTGAAAAATCAGAATGAAGAAGGCATCCCACAGGAAGGAATGATGGATAATACAGACATGCCGGTGGACACTGAAAATGAGGCTTATGAAATGCCTCCTGAGGTAATTTTTTTGTTTTGCTCAGTGAACACATATAGCAGATGGCAACAGAGAGTTCAATGCAGGGACTCCGTCAGTGTGATCCAGTTCCAGCAGAATAACAGTAGTAGGCCAGCTCATACCAGGCACTCACAGAGAGAATCTCTTGCCTTCAGGGGTGCATGATGCTCAGAACATGTCAGAGAGGAGGCAAGCCCCTGACTCTAATCTTCTATATGCCTAAAGGTGCAGAGCCAGCTATGCAGGGGGTTAGCAAACTGCAGCGTGGTAGAAGGCACAAAGCATTTCTGACAGACATTTTTATGAGGCAGAACATCTCCTGGGGTTCCCCATTACTCCTTCCCATGTCAAAATGGGATGAGTGAGCCCAAGGAGTAGAGGTCTGCAGTAGCATCATGCTTGGTTATAAAATTTAATATGTTAAGTGTTCTCTTATGTAATGAATAAGTTCTAAAGAATTATTGATGCTTTGTGCAACATTGCCTGTTATTGGGTTAGATGTTACACCACTGTTTTTTCAGCAACCAGCTGTCTTCAGCTGGAAGCAGGAATTTCTATAAATGACAACAATAACATTTGTTTTCAAGCAAGGACTGGACTGGGTGCCCTACCTCCCAGGTGAATGCCTCAGGCCCAGTGGAAATGAAACGTTTTAGACTGGCCTCTAGATCCAGTAGGACATAACAGGCCCTTTTACACGTTTTCTGATGTGCTCGGATTAGAACGCACCAGAGCAAACTCAGTCAAGTCTGCAGGAGAGTTCTAATCAGAACACCCCAGCGTGCTGTGGCATCTCGTGTATTTAACATCCCCGTGTTTCTTAGGAGTCGCTCTAATTAAAACACCCGCAGCATCTTGTGTATTCAGCACCCTGCATTTCAAAATGGTGGCAGGGGCACTTTAACTAAAGCTTGTTCAAGAATCTTTAGTTAAAGCATCCCTGCCACCATTCTGAAACATGGGGACACTGAATAAACGAGACACTGCAGCATTTCCACTGGATCTGTTCCATTTCTACTGGATCTGTTCCACTATATCTAAAATGTTCTGATTAGAGTGTTCCGATTAGAGCTGTCCAGCAGACTCGATTGAGTCTAATGTGATGCGTTCTAATCAGAACGTGTCAGAGGACGTGTAAAAGTGCCCATTATGCCCTACTGGATCTGTTCCACTATGTATAAAACATTTCATTTCCATTGGATCTGTTCCATTTCTACTGGATCTGTTCCACTACATCTAAAACTTTTCATGCCTTAATTAGAGAGGTTCTTAGGAGCGCTTCCCCCACCCCTTCTCCCCCAGCATGTGTGCAGCCGTCCAATGAGATCTGACCCAGAATTGAGAGTAGTCCAGTGACTAGGGTAGTGTGCTAGGAGATGGGAGGCTACAATTTGCATTTCTGCCTCAAGTCAGACAGAATAGAGACTTGAAAGTGAATCTTCCGCATCTCAGGATATTTCCTTAATCAATTTTTAGAAGGATGGGCTGTGCGCAATCTCTTCAGTTTGTGAACAGCACCTAAATCCTATAATTAATGTGCCCTTCAGTTCCAAATTTCCTTTGCAGTTGTTAAATGCTCATATTTGAAACATAGTATTTTGTTCGATCTCAAATGATATTTGTCACATTTTTAGAACTTCCAGCAAAGCAAAAAGAAAGTCATTCATGTATCTTTAATTAGATCCATTTGAATGAAGGAGGCAAGATTGTACTGTCTAATAGTCCAGCTACCATTTTAATGTAGCTGAAATCTGCCTTGGTTCTTCCATGTTTGCATCTGCTTATCGAAGAACTGGCTATAAGTGGTATTGTTCCCAAGACCACTTCCATTACTTCTTTGTTTTCCCTGCACAGCCTCTCTTAAAGCAGACCCATCTGCAACCCAGCTGGTAAGGGAGGGGAAGTCCATTACTGTTCTTAATGGCTTCCTTACAGGAATCATCTTTAAGAGAATCATTTGACACAGCTTGAAAATATTCTTGCTTTCATCACTCTAGAACAATCCATAATAAATTCAGAATGTTTTCTTGTGTTTGTGAAGAGAGATGTGGAAAAATGTATCTTTGTTTGATTTCAGTAAAAAAATGTACGCTCAAAGTATATTCTTTAGCTTCCTAACATTTAAACCACATTTTATAAGACTTGCAAATCATTATTACTCCCTGTGGCAAATATATTGTGAAGGTATCATTTTTATCACTTTCCTTTGGCTAGCCTTGCATTACTTTGAGCTTGTTACAACATGTTGCTACAATTCATGGAACACATTGCTAAGGGTAATCAGAGTGGTTATTTTGTCAAGCTGTAGAAGATTGGTTCTGATTGTGAGGGGCATAAGTTGTCTAAAGTGTTGATCCAGGAAAGTACTTCAAGTCATATATTACTCAGAAATTTAAAATTATGCCATTAAAATTAAGGGGTTACTTTTATTTTTATAATTAGTGATAAGTGATTTACTGGACTAGGTGAGCAGCTGCAGCACCAGTGTAAAGTAGATTTCATATCCAATTATGGCAACTCAGCCTCTTTGTATTACCAGAATTTAAGTCCACAAACTTAGCAATTGCCATTAAGAGCTTGATCTAGTTTCCACTGAAGTCAGTGGAAGAATCCCCACCTAGTTCACCATGAACTGGATCAAGTTGTAACTGTTCTCATACAAAAGTCCCATGTAAGTTTACACTCTGCTCAGTATGGAAATCTGGTGAAGTCTAGAGCCTGCCAACATGCCATTTGAATTCAACGTTTTAGGCATGAAGATTTTTATACTACATTCTTTTATGGCAGTCTTGGGACCTGATCTGTGCTCAGTTCTTTAACTTTAAGGACGTAAGTAGTCCCAGTGATTCCAGTAGGACTATTCATGAGTTTAGAGTTTTGAACATACATAAGTGCTTTCCTGGATCACTGATTGAGGCTCATTTCTTATCTTTGAAATGCTTTTCCCTCATGAGGAATACTTAGTACATGTTACATGTAGGAATGTGATTTTTCCCCCTTCTTCCCTTATTTCTTATGGGTACTATTCACAGATGCATTATTATAAGTCATTTTGCAGCTGATACCATAGTTGAGTGGTATGTTCAGTTAGGAGGCATCTAGTTAGTCTATAAATACATTTGATTGTAAACTAAATATTTTAAAGACATGATAAAATAATGCCAACCAAATAAAGATAAATGCCCAGATCCTGTTCCTATTAAAAAGAATAGCACCTCTTTCTCTATTGGCTTCAATGGGAATAGAATCAGGTCTAAAATGTGGCATTTCATAAATGTTGCCAATGCTGACTTTTGCCCTTCTCAATAGGAAAAGTATCAAGACTATGAACCTGAAGCATGAGAATCTCTCCCCTCTTTCTATCTTCTGAAATCTGCTAACAAAGATGTCCCATCCTGTACAAGTGCTGAGTTCCAATGTGCCCAGTTGTTAACTTTTTTTACAGTTTTTACAGTGTATTTTGAAGTCTTCCATCAGCAATGATCGGAGTATCTATGACTGCGTCCAGCTCTTGTTTCAGTGATTCCCTCCTGTTGAAACTAATCCCTGGGTGGCAGGCCCATTGTTGTGCTGTGGATATTGTGGCTTCAAGTTTAAAAAGCTAAAATAAAAATAAAAATCACCTAAGTGTCTACTGCTTATTTCTAAAGCTGTACATGTTTTGTTGACAGGTTGTCAGTAACATGGTATTGTTTGATAAAAGGTTTTTTTTATGTTTCCTATGATAATTATTTCTGTGCAGAGATGACTTATTGTGAGAGTTGTTAATATATATACATATATAAAGTAATTGAGCATGAACTATGCACCTATAAATATTAACTGTTGAAATTTTATTGTTTTGTGATGTGTTTTATTAATTTGTGTCTGTAAATAATGTTCAATTGAAGTAAATAAAACGAAACCCATTACAAATGAACTTCTGAATTGGTGGTGATTTACAGCACCTTCTTTCTGTTCCAAGAATTCATGTTTTAGCAATTTAGGTCAAGGCACTCATTGTGAAAAAGTTGCAGCCACAAAGAAGAAAAAATCTATACCAGCAGCAGCATAAACAATGGAAGAACGCAGGCCCAGTGTTGAGCTGGTGTACATTGTATACAAAACGGATATGCAGATGGTGACAGTAAGTTTGTTGTTATAAAGAGAACCAAGAAACAAATGCGGCTTTCAATACTGTGATGCAGTGAATTATCAGGAAATTGTAAGGACGTAGGAAGAAACTGTTCCTCAAGGTCATTAATCTACTGTGATATGGAGAAACCAGCAAAATGATAGATTGGTTGCACTCTGGGTCTTGCATTCTGAATCTGCCTATCATTTGTTTTAGCAAAAATACACTCTATTCTGTTTCATGCAACTGAATTTTAGTGTAGTTTCTCAATGGGAACCATACTGATAATCGTCTTTTTAGGAGGATGACCCGAATAAAAACAGGTTGCATTTCTCTTGCCCTTGTTATTCTACTCTTTTCACTTTGGAGTCAAATTTTTCCTCTAACATAACTGATTCAGTATTACTAATTTAACCTATTATTATTATATATGGTCATAAGCAGGATTTTTGCCCTCAGTCTTTTCTTGTAGCCAATGTTTGTGTAGATCTTACAGTGGGAAAATATCACTTGCCCTGTTTTGCAGATGGGGAAACTGAGAGGCAGAGAGACACTGATGAGAGATAATATGACTTGCCATCAGTCACATAATAGACTGGTAACATAATCAAGAACAGAACCCGATGCCCTGATTACCAATCCAGTGCCCCATCCATTCAAGCCATATGTATTAATTTTGTTTTTGATCTGTGAGTTCTTTTCTGAATTGTCTACATCTATCTGGTTTTGGAGGGCCCAAAACTGAAGACAGTACTCCAGGCACGGGCTCATGAGGATTGTGTATTGAAGGACTTTGATGTGACCCTTCAGCAGTCCAAAATCATGCTGGCCTGTTGCACTGCAAGCTCCTATTTAATTTTCTGTGTGCTATCTCCTCTTGTCTGTTTTGCACCACTGCATTTCTACACAAATGATTGAAATAAAAGAAGAGTAGAACAACTATAAAGGGGGAGGGGGAAAAGAATTTTTTTTAAATGGGGCGGGGGAGGGCAAGCAGTTAAATCTTCTTGGTTATTTTAAGCAACTTACCTATAATGTTCTTAAATGAAGCTGAAATTCCCTGACTCCCTTCGTAATATAAACCACATCTTTTAGACTGGTTATCTCCATTAACAATGACAGTCATGTTGTCCTCCTCCTCCTAATGGGATTCGTATAACATCCTTATAAAGAGTACAGCAATTGCTTCAATAGAAACCTGATATTAGGAAGGTATAATGAAAATTTTACTTTTTACTTTTTATTAATGTAACTTAAGCTTCTATTAATATGATTTAGTAAGTGGAAGCATGGTGAAAAAAAACAACTCTATAGAACCAAGCCACTTTTCATGGCTTACCAAGAGGGACTACTAGAGCAGGGGTGGGCAAAATGTGGCCCAGGGGCCGGATGCGGCCCACCAGGCCATTCTATCCGGCCTGCAGGGCCCCTAAGTAATTTAGAAAATTAATATTTATCTGCCCTGGGCTGCCTGCCATGTGGCCCTTGATGGCTTGCCAAAACTCAGTAAGTGACCCTTTGCCCAAAATAATTGCCTGCCCCTGTGCTAGAGGCAAAAGCTATACAGGAGATTCAGATGTCCACTTTCATTGGAAACTTTGGAATGTTCAGCCCAACTGCATCCAGTTTTGAGTTGGCTTCATGCACCCTATTTAAGGGGGTAACTTCAATTTTCCTGAATCAAGAAATCAAAATGTGTAAGTAAGGCATTGATACACAATTGCTGCAAAGAAGCCATACATTTCTAACTAGCCATGGAAACAGTATGAGAAAAATATGAACCCCTAAGAGAGGTCAGTCCTTTGACGAGTTAATTCTTTTATTTTTAGGTCAATATAAATCATTCATAGTTTGGAAGTCATTTTAAATATACGATAGGTGATCTTTCTAATTTATGTGCCTCTTGAAAACATGCCCTCAAATGGCCTGAAAAGTCTACAGGACTTCCTGGTTACTATGGCAACACAGTGTGATGCAGCGCTCTAGTAACGTGCTGCATTTTAATTAGACTCTTCTGGAGCTGCTTAGCTGTCTTTTTCAGGTAAACTAAATGCCAGTTGGTCTTGTTTCCTGGAGTGCAATGAAAGCAAATGTGTGGACTGCAAATGTCAGAACTGTGTTAGACCCCAAAGCCAAATCTACACAAATATTACTTTAACAGGACCTAGATAACTCTCTGCCTTTGAATATTAAAAGACAGCCATATAATTGTGAGAGTTTCATAGATTTCATAGACATTAGGGCTGGAAGGGACCTCGGAAGATCATCGAGTCCAGCCCCCTGCCCAAAGGGCAGGAAGTCAGCTGGGGTCATAGGATCCCAGCAAGATAAGCATCCAGTTTGCTCTTAAGTTACTAGAAAGCAATGCAACACGTGCCTTTTAGAGACAACAAAAATCAAAAGCTGTCCCCTTTCCTCAGTTTAAGTATCTGTTTTTGTGTTTATTAACTGTACTAAAAGCAATAGTCTGTCCCCAAATTAAAAAGAGTTGATGCATCTCATTGTGTTTGCATTTCTCCAGGGAAAACTAAATGTTGCTTTTTCCTAACTTGACAGGCTTAATTGGCCTTATATTTGCTCCTAATTAGGCCTATTACAATAATTATGTTTTTATTACTGTAAATCACAGTGTTGTTAGTATTTGCTGTACATGCTTGTGATGGAATGACTTCAATATAATCAATGACCCCTCAAGGTACTGAGATTTGTGCCATTCCCTCTACACATTAATGAGAGGTTAAGGTGAATTGTGATGTACTTTATCTGGAGACCCAGGGATAAGCTTATGTTTAATGCTTCTCTGGGTGCACTCATTTAATTCACTGGCTCATATAACTTTCTTCATAGTTGAGATTCTTTGCTTAATGACATTTTTCCATATTTCATTTTCCTCTACATGTTACTGTAAGTTATGCTTCTGGATACAGTCTTTGACACAACTGAGAGGAAAGGTAGGAGTCCCCTAAGTATAACAGGGAATCTCTGAGCCAAATTCATCCCAGATTTAACAGACTGTAATGACAGTGATATGAAAGTATAATTCCAGAATCCTTATGTGGATAAAGCACCAAGAAGTTATGTGAAAGGTTAGTTTGAGCCTGTTTAGCAAGACAAAGCCATTGCCTCAGAAGTCTACATGAAACTAGATGCTGTAGCAGGGCAGAGGAAAGACCACTGGCCTGGGATTCAAGTGAACTGGCTCTGCCACTGCTTTGCTGGGTGACCCTAGGAAAGTCACTTCCCTGTGCCTCAATTTCTCCATCTGTAAAGCGGGGTTACTGATCTTTTTCTGAAAAGTGCAGCATGTGTTCATCTCTGCAATATGTTCTCCAAAGTACTGTAGTTCATAAGTAGAGCTAGAAAGTATAGTGAGGAGAATGACATTTTGCCTGCTGCTAATTTGTGTGCTAGAAGGGAAAAGCTTTCTCCCAAATATCACAGCATAAGGGCAGTAGGGTGGCTGCACTGGTTCAGCTCCTACTGCTGGGTGCAGTGGGGTTTGCTTCTGACTTGGCAAAGTCTTACAGGAAAGTGGGCACTTCCTCAAATTTGGTGCCCAGAGCTGGTGCCCTTCTCACCCCTCACTAGTTATACTATTGACTTAGGGTGCATATACACAGGCTTGTTGGTGCTGTCAGTGCTGCTGCCTAGTAAGTCCTCTCTGTCCATGTCTCCTCTGCATGTTCCAAAGCCAGGAGTGGTGGTGATAGTGAAGATGCTCTAAGGATTCACTGCCCCCTTCCTCCTCCCACCTCACCCCTTCCACAGTTCCTGAGATCTTTGGTGTGCCTCAGAGCAGCAGACAGAGGGCAGCATTACTGTTCTTCTGTGTTTTCAAGTGTGGCGTGGGAGGGGGTGGGCATGGCTTACTTTGGGTGGCAGCTTTGAGACTAATGTGGAGCCAGTGCAGACATGCTCATAGCATCCTCTGACCCACAGTTTTTCCTCTAATAGGTGGGGATAGTATTTTCTTTTCTTACTATTTGGATTTTCAAGTTCTCGTGGCAGGAACAGTCTTTATCTATGCTATGTAATTAATAATTATGTAGTGTATAATGAATAATATGAGTCTGTCCCAAGATTTATATCACATTTTAAATGGCCAAGTGAAACTCTTATTTGCAATGCTGTAAATTAGAAATAACTATTAAATAGAATTGCTATTGAATTACCCTAGTGCAAAGCAGAACATTTTAACCTTAAATATCTCCATGTTTCTGTGCATGATAGTTCTGCCATGTTCTTGGACTGCATTTTCATGACTCGCCTCTGGTTTTTACTACTAAATGCTTTAGTGCAAAGAAGGGGTGGGACCATCATACATGCACAATTGGTTGTTTTTTAACTGAAAATATAATCTGTTTAAAA